TTTTTTTATTTAATTTTAATTCATTTTTTAAATTTAATTTTTAATTAACTTTTTTTATTGTATTTTTAATTAGTTATTTATATAAATTTTTCCTTTTTAATTTTTTTTTCTTTTTATTTTTCTTTTTTAAATTTCTGTTATTTTAAGTTTTCCGTTTCTGTATTTAGCACGTGCGTCTATATTTCAACAAGCTTTAGTTTGTGAATTCACTCCATTACTAAGTTAGACTAAAATTTCTTCTTTGTGTTTATATTCTCCTTTCCCTTTCTTATTTTATCTGAAAATATATATGTTTGTATATTTTTATTTTTTACAGATTCATAGTGGCATAGTTCTTTCTTACGTTATGTTATAATAATAAAAGAATATAAAACAAACAAAATTTCTTTAACAATATTTAAAAAAAAAAAAAAAAATTACAATAATTGTACCTATGCATAATAACATAGAGAAGCAAAAATATAAAATAACTAAATCAAAAGCAAAAGAAATAGCAAAGAAAGCAAGCACAACAATTACTATATCAATCTAAATATACATATGTATATAATATATTTATATATATTTAGTAAAAAGCAAATAATATCAAATTAAATGAAGCAAAATTTCTGCAAAAATATGTAATTATAAGCGAAGCACTGTAAGCAAGCAAAATTGCAACTTATAAGCATAAGACGTAGCAGCAGAAAGCGGCACAAGCAAGCAACTATTTCTTAAAGCAAGAAAAAACAACAAAACAAAATAAGTAAAGTACAGCGCACAATAAGAAACAAGAAAGCAGTACTTCCAGTAAAAAAGCAAAATCTAAACCAATTCTATAATTTATTTCATAATTTTATGTAAAAAATTTGCATTAAATTTGTAGTTGATTTTTAAACTTCTTTTTCGGTTTATATACGATTTTAAACTTTTACAATTTGCGCTGCTAGAAGCTTTTTTTACGAGAAGCTGGAGAAAATTATTAAAAGATACAAACAGGAAAGAAAAAAATTAAAAAAAATACTTTTCATCAATTTATGCAGCGTCCATTTTGGTGTTATTGCAAAATGTGTCAATTTTGAAATTTCTAAAAAAAAATATTAGAACAAAATTTTAATTTATAGCGTAATTTTGACTTCCATCCAATTTTGGTGTATTTTCAAAAGTTGCAATTTTGAAATTTTTGTAAAAAATTTTTTTTTTTTTAATTTAAAGCGTAATTTTAACTTAAGCACCGCGTTTGAAGTAGTAAAGCTGAGCACCGCACTTTGCAGCGCATGTTGGAATCAAAGAGGAGCGTGCAAATGCAACGAAAGTCGATAACTCCGTTAACTCTAACAGGGGAAACCGCTGACTGATTTTGATGTGGACCGCGTGCAGTCAACAAAGCCTAGCAAATATTTCAAAAAATTATACATTTTCTCAACAATTAATTGTCCATGTAAAGTGAAAACGCTCATGTAGTCAAGCGTCAGCTTTGCGTAATAGCAAACCACTTAAGTGCGAAAACTTTTGATTTTAATGCGTACTTTCAAGTGCTAAGCCTGCGCACCTATGAGCTTTTCACTATTGCAGAAATTTCGAAAAATATTTTTGTTTTTAATCCCCACTTTATATTATATACCTAAACGCTCACACACAAATTATTTTATTTAACAAAAAATTTAATTATATTATGTAAACATATTTGCATGAAACGCAGAAGCTAGTTTTATATATAAAAAAAAAACAAAAAAAAAATTAAAACATTAGTTATATCTTTCTCTCTTTAGTTAATTAAAAATTAAATTTAAAAAAATGAATTAAAAATTAAATTAGAAATAAATTAGTTAATTAAAAATTAAATTAGGAAAAAATTAATTAAAAATAAAATTATAAACAAAAATAAAATTATAAACAAAAAATAATAAAAAACAAACAAAAAATAATAAAAAAAAATATATATTATAAAAAACAAAAAAAAAATATAAAAAACAAAAAATAATAATAAAAAAAAGTAAATAAAATCAAACAAATACAAAAACAATAACAATAAAAATAAAATTAAAACTAAAAATAAAAATTTTCAAAAATTACACAAGTTTAAAATAAATTGAGAAAACGGTAAAGGAATTCAATTTTTAATTGCGAAATTTATACTGAAAACATAAAGTACAATTGGAAACATTACAAATTGTTTTGAATAAAAAATCACAAACGCTAACACTAAATCCAACAATATTAAACAATTTACGAAACAAGTAATTGAAAGTAAAAACAATGTATGTATGTACATATGTATGTAATAAGAAGACGCAAATTTTAAAGGAAAACTGCTGTGTACAAACTTAAATAATAAAATAATTAAAAAAAAAACTATAAAAAATAATTTAAAAAAATTAAAATTACAAATATATACTCAAAACTTAATAATAATAATAATAATATTAAAATAATAATAATAAAATAATAAAAAAATAATAATAATAAAAAATAATAAAAAAAATAATAGTAATAAAAAATAACAAAATATTACATAAAAAAATATTTAAAAAAAATTATAATAGAAACTATACAAAAACTAAAAAAAAATTTAAGCAAAAACAAAATCAAATCAAATAATAAATAAAAGAAAAAAAATGCTTTAAATTAAAAATAAATAATGATTGATTATTAAAAATAATAAAAAAAAATTATAATAATAAAAACACACAAAACTAAACCAATTAAAGATGAAATCAATAAAATAAAAAATAAAATTGAATAAAGAAATTATGAATAAAACTACTTTAAATTAAAAATAAATAATAAATGATTATTAAAAATATATAATAATAAAAAGAAAAACACAAAAAGTTCAAAAAAATTAAAGCAAAAAAAAAAAAACAAATAAATAAATAAAAAATAGAAGAAAATATTATTATATACAATATAAAGAAGTTGTGGATTAAACTATTTTTAATTAAAAATAAATAATAAATGATTATTAAAAATTATAAAAAAATTAAAAAAAAAATTATAATAATAAAAATTACGATAATACTAAAAATAAAAACAAAAAAAATTAAAGCAAAAAAAAAAACAAATGAATAAATAAAAACTAAAAGAAAAAATAAAATTTATAAACTACTTTCAATTGAAAAATAATAATAAATGTTTAGTTGAATAATTTGCGTGAATTTTGTTTATAAATGATAGTAACAAAGAATTCTATAGTTTATATAGTAATTTGAAATCAGAAAAACCAAAACCACTAAAATAAAAATTACTACAAAGCGTCGACACTTTCACCGCGCTCTCTTAATATTTTTTAATATTTTCAATCTCTACGCCGCAGCATGCAAATGTGCACTTAGCTTTAATTTTTCGTGTTGCATATACAATACAAATATACACAGAACAAGTGTAGGTAATAACAATAACAACAATTTACATAAAACCATTAAAAATTAACAATTAACAATGTCCTTAATGCAATTATGCCAAATGTGTGTTTTTTTCTTGTTTGTTTTCATTTTCTATATTGCTATACTTTTGTTTTTGTTTTCTGAGTTTTCATAGTTTCTAAAGACTACTAACCTGAAGTTGCTTGGGAAGTTGCGCCGCCTGGCGTACCGGCGCCACTTGACGGATTTGATGCTGAGCCAGAAGCACCCTCGCCACCAGCACCGGCGACCGGTCGACCTGCGCTGTTATTTTGCAGATGTTTTGGCAACAATTGTGGGATTAAGCTTGGCTGTATCGATAGTTCTGTAAAAAGGGCAACGCAATTTATTAATTAATATTTTTATTATTTAAAAATAAATATTATTATGGAAAACCACCAAATTGTAAAATTTGCAAATGAATCGATGTTTGTGATTTTTGCGCACACTTACCATGCTCTGTGAAATTAAATAATGGCGGCATGGGCCGTCCATTGGGCAAAGTAGTGTTGCCCTCTTGGCGCAGTTCATCGAAGAATGGATGTGCGCACGCCTTTAGTGGCGTTATACGTGCACTGGGCGTGTACTCGAGCAGTTGTGATACCAGATTGATAGCTTCTGTCGGAGTGCGTATACGGAAAACCTGCGCGGATGAGAAATAAGTAACAAGAAAAAATTAATAAAATGAAATAAAAAAATTTTTTTTTTTCAAATTTGAAAAATTGTCAATTCAAAAAACTATACAAAATTAGGGGGAAAAACGTGGAAACGCAGTTTATATTACAACTAGGTTTGAAAAAGGAGGGCGAACGCTTTCGTCAAATCCAATAAAACAAACTGGATTGTAAGCTTCAGCATTTGTTTACAACTATATAAATAGGTACAGCAACGAAAAACCATTTTTTTTTACTGCAATGTGCTTTAGGATATGTAATAATTACAGTTTTGAAGATTACTAGGTAGGGATTCTATGAATTTTTTATATAGTGAAAAAGTGTTTGTTTCCATTTATGCGCCTAAATATATGCTATGATTATTTATTTTATTTACTTTAATTCTGGAACCTTTTATCGATTTTTTTTTTGAATTTCATAGCTATGCAAAAGTTTGTGCTAAAAGCCAGGTGTATACCTTCTACACATATAAAATAGTCGTGACTACTAAAGATGTCCATAATTTAAACATATGTATATATATGTTGTGTTTTAAATAGAAAAATTAAACAACAGCTATAATATATGCATTTCCTGCACATATTTTGAGCTCGGTTGTAAAAAAAAAAACAAAAAATAAATAAAACACATGATAGGCGTGACAGAGTAAATGGAGCAACTTTACCGTTTGCACAGAATGCTAGTAGGATCATGTGTGATATTGTTGCAAAGTGAGGTTAAGTTGAACAGAAAGTAAATTAATAAAGTATGCAAATATTTGTAATGTATTTACAACAATTTCCCGCATGATAGTCGCACTTGAGTATATGCTAGGGGTCAGCAGGTGAAACGAAACAGGGAAATGTAGGCGCGCTGCTGGCTTGTATGTGGATTAATTGCAGTGTGAGCCGATATTGTAGAAGCAACGCGTAGTATGCGCACGCTCATACAAATACATACATATCTTTAATTCAATTGTTTTCAAAGCGGACGATACATATCGATTTTTTTTTCAAGTTAAAATGAAAATCAAATTTAACGCAAGAACACAGCCAATCGATAGTTATATTTAGCAAGTTAGCATAGTCAGTCATTAGGCAGCCAATTCAGTAGTCAAAACAATACAATTCAAGTGTATGAAACGTTAAGTTAAGGTAAATATTTAAATCAATACCGATAGTTAGAGGACAGGTTGTAAGTAAGCTGCTAATTTGCTTTTGTTCGGTTATACAATTTTTAGGTTTTCTTTGCTTTTGAACTTATCTTCAAAGCACTAGTTTCTTATGCTTTTCGTAACGCAATTGTGCTTGTATTAGTTTTTTGTTTTTTGTCATATTTTTTATGATTTCAGTTTGTTTACTTGTGTTTGTTTATTAGAAAATTTTGCTTATTGTTGTTATGTTGGCGTGTTCGGTTCGGTTTTAGTTTTTTTGTTTTTTGCTTACTCTCCAACGTTGCTGCTGGTTTAGGGCGCTTGAAAATTGGCTACGTTCAAGTAGTGACTGCAAATAGTTCACACTTCAGTTAAACACAAATACAAATACAAACAGTTGTATACAAATAGAAATTTGAAGGCGAAGAAAAATAATGGAATATAACAAATTTTCTAGCTAGAGCGCAAATAGACAAATACTATATAGAATATGAATGTGCAAACTATAGTAAAGAGGCAAAGAGTGTAGGGCGACAATTCAAATAAAATTGTGTGGGTGAATAATGTGGGTGGTTCGTTGCTTGGTGTTTGCTGATGGGTGGCGTAAAATATACTAGAACATAATATTAACGAAAGCCTAAGAATAAAATACTAACTTCGGCTAACAATGAAACGTACGTACAAGGCAGCTTTTAAGTAAATATTTAATACAGTGGCTACACTGCTACACTAAGTGAAAACGCTTAAAATTGTAATTGCAAATAGTCGAAACTCGATAAATCGATAATTGATGAGCAAATACACACGAAATTCAAAGCTAACAAATAAAAAATAAAACATTTGCCGAAATGTTTACATTAAGTGTTTAAGCTTACATTATTCGATTGTAATAATTTTCTATTTAATAATTTTCATGGTACAATTATGCAACTCGAGTTATCGACTTTCGATTACTTTCTTTATTCAACGACTAACTGCTTATAATTATGTGTTTTTTTTTTTACATATTAAATTAAAATATTTATATTATTTTAGCACTTACTTTCTGCCATGGATGACTCTTAATTTGTGGAAATTTGAATTCCGTGTAATTTGGATTCATTTCGCGTATTTGTTCTCGTGTCGGTGTACCCAAAACTTTGATGACCTCAACCAATTGATCGACACCAGAATCGCCGGGGAAAATTGGTTGGCCGAGTAGTAATTCAGCTAATACACAGCCGGCGCTCCACACATCTAAAAGCGAAAAAGAAAAGAAAGAATAATTATAAGTGATTAAGTTCGTGCCAATATTGCGGCCACAAAAAAGCGCAGAGGCTTATAATAGTTATATACAATATATGTATGGTATATACTTATTAATATTTAGCACATTTTTATGATTTTTTATTTTTTTGACAATATAAACTTTTTGAAAACTCACCAATTTTTGTAGTGTAATTAATGGCGCCAAATATTAATTCCGGTGCACGATAATACCGCGAGCAAATATATGATACATTCGGTTCGCCGTGTAATAGTTGCTTGGCGCTGCCAAAATCGCATAATTTCAGCACAGCCGTCTCTGGATCCAAGAGTAAATTTTGCGGTTTGATATCACGATGACAGATACCCAATGAATGGATGTAGGCCAAACTTCTGAATAGCTGATACATATAGAGCTGGTGGTGAAATAATTACGCCGGGCGTTAGTTATAAATATTTATGCATATAAAAATTAAAAAATATAAATAATAAAATATATAAATAATAAAAAATAAATTTAAAAAATATAAATATTTAATATGAAATAGGTAAATAAGAATATATATATAAATATTTTTTTTATAAACACTTATATAAATATTTTTTTTTTTTTATTCTAAGGCAGTCACAATATTTTTATTTTTTCATTTCATACTGATATTGGTAGGTTTAGCTAAGTAAGTAAGTAAATAAATTTTATTTTATGGGAAAAATACGTTATATAAAATAACTTTTCTATATAATGAAGAAATAAATGTAAAAAGAAGAAAAAAATAATAATTTTTACTCACCCGTATAAAATTAATTGGTATCGTTTGCTTGGTTTTGGCATATTGACGTGCCACTTTGTATACGGTTTCTGGTATATATTCGAGAACTAAATTCAAAAATACCTCATCACGCTGTGATAAAAGAAAAAACGGGAACATATGAAATTATTAAATAACTGTTTAGTAATCAAATGCAGAACAGTCACAGAATTAGTGCACATTTAGCGACTGGCGTATGATAAAACGATTGATAAAAAACGAAAACACTTTTAAATCGGTTAGTTTGGTGAAAAAATGTGGGGAGTATGTAAGATAATTTTCGAATATTATTACGTCGTATAGTAGCTGGCAATTACCACTAAATTTGATGTATTGTATATTTACATTTTGGAATTTCAAGTTTTGCTTTTCTTTTTCTTTTCGTTTTTGTTTGTATTAATTTTACAGCGACGCGAGCAGTAAGTTATTTAACATGTGTGGGGGGGAGCGTAGTTGAAAAATTGCAAGCAGTGTGTATTTTTTATATACAATGCAGTTTGTAAATTGTCACGCATTTTTACTGCAACAAGCTTTTACAGTAGTATAGCAGTAATTTAAAGAATTTTTAGTTAGCACTAACAAAACAAATGTCGTGATGACATGAGTTATACGTTTTATTTATGTTTGCTGTTGTTGCGACATTCGTCGTAACTGCTGTTTAATTTAGTAACTTTGGTTTCGTAATATTTTTTTTTTTTTGTTTTTTTCTTATCGATGAGATGAGTATCTAAGATATTTGATATTTTACATATTTGTTTGATTTATTTTTTGCATGTAACACTTTCTAGCTACCTGCGGTTTAAGGACACTGGCGAAGATGCCAATATCGATCGGGAATTCGGCTAACTGCATTTTTAGTTTGATTTATGTTTTTGGTTTTAGAGTTGCATTGGAAAGTTGAAAACAATTTGTAAAAATTGGCGTGTACAAAAATTTTCGTTTAATTTTTGTAAATTTTATTTATGCGATTTTCAATTGTTTTTCGAAATGCATTTTTTTGCGTTACAAAGCGCAGTTTATAGTTGTACATATAATTATAAATATATAAAAAAAAGAATTTATATATTAGTTTTTAAACTTAAAATATTGATAGGCATAGGTTGGCGTGGAATATTGTATGAAATAATTGTGAAAGGAAACTAAAAAGTAAGAAAGGTCCACGAAAATGTGATGATAATTGCAGTAATGTGTTTAAAGTTGACCGAACAAATGTGCATTTATATATCTTTGAACTGCGCATGTTTGCATGCGAAATTAATATACACACAACATATTACACATTTCCACTTGATTGTAGTGTTGTTAGCTGCTGACCATAGGAAGTAGAGTGGTATGGTGATAAATCGGTGCGGGCATTGTTATGCTTAGTACATTTTATGTGATTTTTATTAAATTATTTGATTGTTGTGTAGTTGTTGTTAGTTGTGACGCGTGTGTGCGTTCATTGGTTAATGAAAATTGTGTAGAAAATGTTTGATTTTTGAAAAAAAGCTACTCACCTTTTCACCACTCGAATAGAAAAAATACAAAAGTTTTACAATGTTACAATGCTCCAGTTTACGCATAATTTGCAATTCACGATTCTACAGGAAAGAGAAAATGACAACAATTAGTTAGTATAAATATTATATTCAAGCACTAATTAGTTTTATCTTGCTAAGCAAAATGCTTACCTTAAATCGTCTGTCTTGTAAAACTTTCTTGATAGCTACCAGCTCGCCGGTATCGCATAACTTCGCTTGAAAGACCACGCCAAAGCTGCCATTGCCGATCACCTTGGTATCTGTGTAGGAAACTTCTTGCACACGGTCAGTACCTTGGCCAGGTGTGGCAACGACTGTTGTAATCTTGGAACCATCTCTGCCTGGAGTATCGAAAAATAAAGTAAGTTTGTTAAAAATGCACTAAATAATATTTAATTCAAAAAATACATTTAACTCAACGATTGAACTGAAATTTATACAAAGTAAGGCACAAGTTTCTATAACAGGTAAAAGCTACTACTCATATACAAATTTTCTAAATTTAAGTTTAACTAATTTTATTGTTTTTCAGCTGAGTGCTATTGAAAGTAAAGTAAAAGTTGTAAAATATATTTTGGTAAAATAGTGCTAAAAGCATACTTATATATATACGAATAATTGCTATAAAATTATTGCTATCGATAATCGAAAGCTACAAATGCTAGCTAGTGTAGTTTATACAGCGTTCACACGCTTAACTTAAAAATATTTATAATTATGTAAACTAGGATATTCGTCATTTCTCAAGTTTTTGCAAACGCCCCTTTTTAAGTTTAATTTTTCCCTTAAAAAAGAAACCAAAGTAAACCAGCTGTTTATTTTCAATTAAAACTGTGCCTAAATAATTTTACTATTACCCATGCATTTTACATATGATGTTTTGATATTTTGCGATTAATTTTTTTTATCTCTCAAGCAAATAAACCTACAACTTTAAAATAGTGATATTATAAAAAAAACTTCCCCCGCTAAAAAAAATTTTATAATAATATTTTTCATAATAACATTTCTTTAAAAGTTATACGCAGTTAAAGTTGTGCATTAAATGGGCTGTATTCATACAGTACACCATGTCGTATGAGTAACACTTAATGTATAAATAACTTGTATGAAGGCGCATTTGTATTTAGGCACGATTTTAATTAAAAATAAAGCGTGTTTACGTTGTATTCTTGATTTTAGAACGAAAACTAAAGCTTCGGAGGAAGTTTGCAAAAAACAAAAAAAAAAAAAATCAACTTTGAAACGATCGGACACACTATGATAGTATACATACAACACATATTTGGACATTTTTAAAAATATAGTAAGCTATTTTTTTTTATTTCATTAACACACAGTTGCAGCGCGCTTAAGCGCAAGACACACTACTCCAAATTACCTATCGTCTCCCAGGCCCCTTCCAGTTTCTCTTTCGTTGGATCAATTTCTTTGGGTATAGAATTCGCTACGCTATGTTCGGGCCATAGACCATTTAATTTACCAATTAGCTGTCGCATACCTTTAGCCGCATGATGGCAGGGTTTAACAAATAGCGCGCGTAGAGCAATGTGTGTGGTAAAAAGAAATGGTCATTGGTTACAAATAGTACTTGTTTACTTTTTTGTGTATATTTTTCACCTCTTTTTATGTTTTTACAAGCGAACAGCAAAAAAAAATATCAGGCGTTTACGCAACTGGTTATCGGCAAGTAATAATTTTGCTTTTACTTTTCACGAGTAATTTGGTTACCTAGTGAAAACTGTAGCGTTGCAAAAAACAAAGCCATAAACACATTTACTACAAATAGCAAAGCAATAAAAAAAAAATTGATTTCCTTTGCTAATTGCCTTTAGCAATCTGCTGCAGTAAATTCTCAACAATAGCATTATAGTAATAAAAAAATAAAAGTTATAATAAATTTACACTTGAGAATGTCTAATGGCTTTGTTTTTGTGTCTGCTTTTATGCACAATAGTAATACGGTAATCGCCAAAAATATTACTGATAGTCTTTAGCTTTAATTTTTATTGCATTACTTGTACGTGTGTCTGTGTGTCAATGGAAATCTCAGAAGATTGTTACGCTTGATAAATATACACCTTTGTATGAAGAATAATCGCTGTTTGCATTTATTATCAATTGTTTACATTTCAAAAGCACCAACATGCCCACAAAGTTGCATGTAATATAACTAAGAAAATGTAGCCAGCTAAATTTGGTGCTTTCTCTGACAAAAGCTTAATCGTTATGTACATACATACGCATATATTGTGTACTGAGTGTCTTAAAAGTGTTAACAAAGAATTTAATTTCGCCTTGCTGATAAGACACAGTGTTCAAATACAAATAAGCTATTAAACTAATTTTGGAACACGAGTAAACACAAGTTTTAAGTTGTATACATTTGACAAGTGGTTGTATAATTTAGAAGCAAAGAAGTTACGTGCACACCTCTGATGTAAAGCACGAGTGCACAGTTGACAGTTGTCGTTATATATAAAAAAAAAAATACGGCATAAGGTATATGCTAATAGTATGTGGGTGGGCGTTTGCCTCTGAACCCAATGGCAAGTATGTGTCAATCAAGTCTCATTGAACGATGCAAAACCAAAGATATGTGATGCCTTTTCCTCTACTATTTCAATGGTTTATTTTTATATTTAACTTGCTTCTTTAAAACAGCTGTGGCAGGTGTTGACATGTATTTATTCCCTTCCTCAATGCATATTGCCCTTAGCTTTGACATTTAAACTGTCAATCCAAATACCGCACTGAGTAAACAGCAAGCGCGTTTGTATGACATCAACAGAGTTAGTAAAATTAAAATGTTTTAATTGCTATAAAAAAATTTGTTTATTGTTTGTACGCTTAAAGTCAACAATTTTTATGCGCTTGCGGTTTTTTATTTTTTTACTTTCCTGTTTTCGGTAATTATTTTTATTTCAATTAAATTTGGCAAAATTACAACATTTTTCAGAATCTTAAAGTAGAAAGCGAAGGTTGTGATTGTCACTTTTTTCATGTGCACCTGTCAAGGTGATGAAGAATTGAGCGTACTATTGAAAGTAGAGTAAAAGTTGTAAAAGATAAAATAGTGCTACATACATACATATATATACTATGTACGAACAATTGCTGTAAAATTAATATTATCGAAAATCGATAACTGCATGTGCTTTGGTGTATTTGCTATGCAAGCATAGTTTACACATTTTTCTTATAAGTGTATTATTGACTATTTGATATCTTTGATATATTTTCATTATTCTATATTAAAATTTTAATTGTTTGATTTGTTTGATATCAAATTTTTATTACTTTATATTAAAAATATAATTTTGTGGTTGTTTCTCAAAGCATATTTACCGAATTGCCACGACAGTAACCGACTAAGGGTGACAATAATAGCATTATAGCAAACACATAAAAAATCTTAAGTAGATATAAAGAGCAATTAAAATATACAATCTGTTGTTTGCGTAATTAAAACAAAAACCGAATATTATGTAAAAATAAAAATTCTCATTATAGAAAGTTGCAAAAAAAAATTAAATAATAGTCGTAAACTCAACTATTCCTGTTGAACGTATAACGAATATCAGCAAATAATGTAAAATATAAAACCACAAAAACAGTAAATAAATGATAAACATTTTATGTGCCGTGGTAAATATTCGGCATTAGAGAAGCTGTCAAAGCTGACGGTGACGGTTGAAAACGTAAATAAGAAACTTGAAAAGTTGGTAATAAAACTTGCAAATAGTGTAAAGTAGCTCGACACATGCGAGATAACAAGCAGTAAAATAGATTTTTATAAATTTAGTATGAAATTATTTATCTAAATGCTGAGAAAGTTAGAATAATATGATATAGCTATGACGGCTAAAAATTGTATCGAAAGTCGATGCTTTGGTTACTGCATGTATATCGATTATGATTATTATGATTTGATGCAATTAAATCATCACATTTGACTTTATATAACAAAGAAAAACTTTTTTTTGTGCTGCTCGCTCGCTTTCACACCAATTTGCGCTATTTCTATTATTTTCCCTATATTACTTGGATCATATTGCTTTGAATTGGTGCGGCTTAGGACGCCATTCACTTTGGAAAGTGGCGGGGCGCGTTTGCCGCTGCTGCTGGACGACGTATCACTGGATGTCGTAGTTGTTGTAGTCGTTGTTGTATCGCTACTAGTTGTTGTGTCGGTACTATCACATGCATTTTGTTTACTAAGTAGCTTCGCTTTGAACGTCTCCGCCGCAATGGGCGGCTTCTTCTGTAAGCTAACACCGGAAGCATTTGCTGTGGTGTTTGTGAGCTTTGTTAATGATGCGCCGGCGGAAGAAACGCGTATTAGACCAACAGATTTTGACTTATCCCCAATACTATTGCCATTATCATCGTCTGTGTCAAAAGAGCGTGTGGTTGTGGTCAGCGATGTGGTGGAACTACGCCTTTCGGTGTCCGTTTCACTAGTGGCATCGCTGCCATTTTTCTTTTTCTTGCGTACGATTTTTATTATTTTACGCGGGCGCCCCGTTTTGATCACTTTGAAGGCGTTTACTATGTAATCGTCGAAACGATTACGCACGAGTTAAGAAAAAGTATTATTTTCTTTAATAGTTTGGTTTGCGAATTAAGCGTTACCAAATTTTGTTTGTTGATTCTGGTTTGGTTTTAACTTGACTTTGGCGTTTTTAAAATTTTTAAAATGCTATGACACAATTTTGTCTGCTTTCTGTAAAGCTTTCTTTTTGCACGCTGCAAGCACTTCACTTAACAATTTGGTTTTGACCTAGTTTAAACACCTTATTAAGCGACCAAATAGATAGCAACAACACAGGGACACGCGCGTGAACGCTATAAAACAAAATATAAAAAAATCGACCGTTGCAGTTGCACTAGATGTACGAGTTAATTGCATTGACGACCAGCGGAAACTACTGCAATGCTGCTTTGGCAAATCACGGGGGACTCGCTGTCAGCCACAATAATTGCTTTCGCACGGCAACTGCTCCTTTGTAGATTTTTTTAGTGCTTTCTAGTTTCTGCTAAGCGAAAATACTTTTTTTTTCTTAAGTGCGCTCTATACAAACTGCATGACGTTTGATTAGTGTGATGAAAAAAAAACGAGCAGAAATCAAAGTTATCTGAGCGATAGATAAATAAAAAAACGATCTTCGATTGTCGTCAATAAAGAGCAACTGCGCCAAGCAGTGCAAACGACAACGAACGCCACACGATGAATGCACTTCTTCATTTTTTCTCCCAACGGTTTGGTTGCATTTTCTTTTGCAATGCAATTTTTTGCAATCATGCAACATATAGTGTTAAAAAAAAAGAGTGGAAATCA